ATGTTCTGGTCTTTTGTTTTCCTTTTTATTGTCTCTTTTGAATAGTGTGTAGATGTTGTTTATCTCTATGGGCCTGTTGATGTTACCTAGCCGGGTAACAAAATGTTTGCAAGAAAACAACCAAGCTCAAAGAACCCCAAGGAATCCGCAATTTTTAACTCAATTTAGAATTAAAGAAAATGCCTCAGGAGCAGAGCTTCCACCACATTCTAATAATTGCTGTATTTCTGTGACTATCCTTTCTGCCTCCTTTAGCATTAATTATCTGATATACATGGCATATTCACTGATAAACCAAATTATTTTCATGAACACAAGGGTTGGAAGTAAATCCCTGGAATAGATTCCAAAAAGCCAATTTTTAGGACAATAAAACAAAAGCAATGACATTCTGGAAAATGGGTTTCTTGTAGGAGAGCTTAATGCAATATGGATCTCAAGGCTTTGTTAAGCCAACCAAAAGCTAGTAAGCAGCTTATGTTACTAACCGAAATGTCCCTGAAGTGTAGCCACCCCTCTTGTTTGGCAGACAACGGAAAGTCCCAATGACCTGTACTCGGTCCCCTGGTTTTACTCTGTCCACCAAGTCATCATCTAAAATGACATCTACAGAGCGAGGAAGTTGTCCAGCTGGTGCTTTCTCTGGCATCTCCTGGATTGTGATGGTTTGATGATCTTTGTAGATTGACAGACCAAATTCTGTCTCAAGAGGATTGTTCTCTTCATCCTACAAGAACAAACTTGGTATTTGAGTGGTTTTTTAGAACTTTCTTGGTTTACTTGATGAGGAGGATTTGAATTTATATCCCACATATAAATATGCTATGCAGCTGCTTCATTACTTGAATTCCCGGGTACATGCTATGCAACCAGCTTTATTTATATTCTGAAGAGGTAAGGAAATATGGAGCACCAAATTTGGTGTTGAAGAATATTTAACTATATCGTATTGTCAGGATCCTCGCAATCAATCAACTATCAATCTATGTCAACTATTAGGGGTTTTCAAAGTACGGCCTGCAGGCCGGATGCAGGCTGCCAGGGTCATTTATCCAGCCCGCCCACCTGATTGGCCGCCGTCTGTCAGAAGCGGAAGTGTCAGGGCTGTGTCAGGAGCTGCAGGCGATGCACGAGGAGGGAGATTATAGAGCCGGACTATTCTACCCGACAGGTATGCCGGGTCCGGCGGCTCTCATGTTTTTTTCAAACTATAGTCTGGCCCCCCAACATTCTGAGGGACCGTGAACTGGCCCCGTTTAAAAAGTTTGAGGACCCCTGTATTAGATTTATTAGAGCTATTGACCTAGTTAGAATGTTTCCTTATATCGGCCATAAAGTAGGGGTGTTTTTTAAGAATGTTAGTTTATATAGATTGCTTGCTCATTCCTGCCATAAAATAAGGGAGGGAGAGATTTAGGTAGACAGAGACAGACGGAACATTATCGAGTTCTCAGGAATTCGCAAGGTCGTGCAGGTGTGAGACCAAGAAGAGATCCAAGGGAAGGTGTGAGAGGGACTGGAACTTGAAAGAAGGGAAACCGCAGGGAGGGGGGTTAAAAGGAAAACACTGAGAGCGGGTTTTCAGTTTCAGCAATCTATGGAACGCTGTATGCTTC